TGGGGCTAGGTGCAAAAAAAGTTAAAGGAAGTGTTTAGGAAACGAAAGTAAAAAAACAGCAGAGCACATAAACAACAAATGCATGTTAAAGACGCAAAGTTGGACTCGAAGCAAAAGCAAGTACCGGACGCAGTCCGAGCTCCGAGTCTGGACCAGAGTATGGCTGGCCGACGATTGAAAGTACAGTATAAATGGCTATTGTAGTATTTTTCCTCCTAGTCGGTAACACTTCTCGAGCATGCTATTAGACATAACTGAATGGACCGATTGTTAGGTACAAACGACCTAAGCAGAAACGCTTCCCGTGAGAGCCAAGGTTAAAACGGTAGTGTATGGGTCGGGCACGAATTCGATTTCAGTGCTGACCAGCAGAGTACTGACAAAGCAAAATTAAATGTAGTAGAAAAAAGGGAGATGCAGACACGTACCCCTCTAAACCCAAATTTTTTTGCGTTCAAGCAAACGATCGCTTCAGACAGGTTATATTCGCTGATCTATAAGTGAAATGCCTCTCTACCCACGGTTGGCCTGTTTATGCAAAAACCCAGATTTGGTGGTGGATATTTGCAAGTAACCCACGGGTTCTGACCGACAAAAGAACCTATTAGGTTGTTTTCGAATGTGGCTAGCGTGCTGACGTGGACGGAGTCTCCTTTGTTGTGCCGCACGACACTTTTGGTGTGACAGGGGTGGAAGAACTAAATCAGTACGACTGGAGACCAAGTCCGTCTATGCGCCTGATTATGCACTATGCTCTGCCCGTACACGAATTTATTACCTTTTTGCCGTCGTAGCAAACACCAAGTCCGTTCGTCAAGGTGTAAAATAAATGTCAAGTACTTCTTTGACAAACACCATCAGTGCAAGCAGCTGCCGAAGTTTGGCCGTCGCAATGACTAAAGCAGCAAATTCAAAAGGGGATGCATGGGTGCTGATTTGGAACAACCTAATGCAGTCGAGCAAAGGGAGTAGCAGTTACTCCACCAGAGCACTCGTTACGACGTAAGTAGTTACCACACGGACAACATAGGTACTAGCTTTCATCTGTCTGATGCAGCTGTGAGGGTTTTGACTATATGATTGGCTCCTCCAGTGTGTACCGTGTATGTTTTTAGGTACATCAACTCCAGTTTCCATCCTGTGTTGTTTAACTTCCAAGGACAGTAAACCCTGCGGCCTACTGATGAACCGAGAGCCTCACAGCTGCTTCAGGCAGCGGCAAAAGATCGGCGAAGCACGTGCGTCTGAGCCTGTACTGCCATGAAGGTAAATAATTACGTATTTTACCCCTCTGCCACGTAGACTGCAACCTCGCTGAAAGAAAGTCACAGTACTGAAATTGCACTGTTAGTTCGCAAAGCGCACCGTGGCCTGGAAACCAAGTACAATAAATATAGCCACTCTTTTCTGCTTAGGCTTGAGGAGTGTGCGTTAAATAAACGTTTTGTGTTAACCAACCAGACTTCCCTGCGAGACAGAACACGCATGCACGGACCCTACCTCGTTCTCCACTAGAATAAATCAGCGACTTCCGAAAGGACTGTTTTTTGCACAACAATCACGGGCAAACTAATAGAAGATGGCTGCAGGTGAGAAATAGATGCCAGATCCCCAGATCCGACAGCAACGCAAACCAGCGCTGAGCAAAGATGCTGACTCGGGGGTTTGAAAAAGGGCCAATTAAGTGGTGTGAATAAAAGCCCGTGCACAACGTAGCAAAAAATGGGCGGCGCGGAGGCCTCCGCACAAAAAACGGGCGCGTCAAACCTGTGTATTGAGAATGGTCTTGCAGACATCCATAGGTGTGGTGATGGCAGCCGCAACAGAACCAGCAAGGCCGCCGCACACAATGTGACTCCAGGGGAGGTAGGTCCGCGAGGGATTCAGCTTATCCTGTAGGAACTCGTACACCATGAAATGGCAACTCTGGAAGGGAATATTTGTCCAGAGTTGGGTGAAGTAGGCCCGGTAGAGGGCGGAAACTCCTTCAGTCCGGAGGACTCGTACGACACAGTCCCAGGAAGTGTGGTAAGGGCTGTTGAACATTTGGAGTCTTTGTTTAACAGCTGGCAAAAAAAGATATCCAATTAAAATAAAGTTAATATAAGCGTATAGATTGAAACAGGAATAAGCGCACACCGATCCATCGGCTTCCAGAAGCAATAAAAACTCCATCAAGGGTGACAAAAGTCACAAACAGGCAATCGACTACCAGGCTAAATTGTAATTGCAGATGAGGCATGACAGATAATGCGGGTACACTGCTAGTCTGTTTCGAGCTTATTCTGCCTTCATTCAGCCAGTCATAACCCTGACTAACAGCTGGGACTGGAAACACATATATTCGCTGCTAGACTTAGCATATGGGATATGTGCGCCATAGTTAAGCTTACAGCGCCCGCTCTCGAGCCCTGCCAGCAGTCGCTCAGTGGGTATGGCTTGCTGATGACGGCTAATAAGCCAGAAATGGCCATTGCAAAATCGACTGAAAATCGACTTAGGCTCGCGAATTTTTAAATTGGTGACTTAATCGGTTTGCAACGGTGGTATTACAGGTACACGAAGAAATGGTAAGGCAGATACAGCGAACGTAACCTCAATATAAACTAAATTGAGTGGCGCTTACCGTTACGCTAACGAGATAGTGGTGATTCTCGTCGATAACGATGAGAGCTACTAATTCAAAATAATTTCTTGAGGAAGTGGCGTGAAAGAAGGACCGAGTGACGTGTCGGCGCTGTCGACGAAATAACTGCAGTGCTTAAGTCTCGATTGGTCAAAAAGGTCATAAAATCTGAAGAGTTTACGAACTATAAAAAAACGAAAAGCGTCTGCAAAATATGGACCGCTTGGCTCAACTAGGAATGATTAACATAAAGAACCTTGCATCTCCGTGAGATGACTATGGCTGAACGAATAAATTTATACTGTTCTTGGATAAACAATCTGAAAATGAGGCATTCGCGGCACCAGCATCGGGTTCGAGTAGTGCATGTGAAACAGAAATTTTGCGTTAATGATTGTCTGCAGTGCATTCATGGATTCAGACGTAGGAAATATGAATACAGGTTTAACAGTGACGACTTATCAGAGTGCGCGTACAAATGTACATGAGGCACTGAAGTGTAAACAACAGGGTTTTCTTTTACACTTGGTTCTATTTTACTAGCCCAATTTTTCCGCTCGTATGCAATCCACCATTACGGAACGGATATTACCCGCCCAACTTTACCGGCCGTATGGAATCCACCAATACGGAACAACCCGCTTCACGCCATGAGTTTAATAATACATGGATAGATATTACCTGTCCAACTTTGCCGCTCATATGAAATCCACCAATACGGGGCAAGGTGCCCAAGCAGGATTTTCTAAGCAATCATCTAGAATCCACCAGAATGACTACCAGGCTGACTTAATTGTTAAGGGGGTTTTGGCACATTTGCGTAAGGCGTGGCGTCGTAGCTCAAATCGGTGGAGGGTTGGCTGCGTAAAGGCCTTCCCTGCTGTGTGGGTTCGACTTCCGCCGACGCCGCGAGTTTTTTCACAATCAAAATTAAGCAAATCTGCCCAAACCCCTTAACAATAGGGTTTTCAAAGGCATTGCATATTACCCTCACCAAGTAAACTGAAAGGTGGCGCGGACCAATACTAGCATGGCTTAAAAACTACAGGTACATGGACTTAAAAAAAAGAGAACCATCATGGGGCGAACAAATTTTCCTCTATGCATTACACAGTCGTGATCATGTTTGATTTAATCGGCCTGACTGATGTCGCGGATTTTACCTCCACACGTGACGACCGCGGATGCAAATCTGGGGAGCTTGACCCACAGTGGTTCCACGACCAGCTTTACAGCCTGAGGGGCTTCCGTTAGCCCGATTTTAAATTGATTTTCTGGTTCATGCTCCCAGATAGGCTCAGGGGCAGCAGCATGTGGCTGATGACAAAATGCGCACAAACCATGTCAGTGGTCTTTCTTGGATGACTCCGGATTTTGTCGCAGCATGAGCGGAGTGTCTCACCCGCGAGGCAGTCGGTGTAATACATTCTTAGGATGGATCTCCAGCAACTTTAAACACGCCTTTCATGCACATTTTTGTGACAATGGCGATATCACGTTACATCTATAGACGCTG